CCCCATGGATCTGTCAGTGCTTCATACTTCTCTTTCACTATTATTATGTCAGGTGACTGGTACAGTGGGCCCATTTGAGGGTGAAGTACCAAGCAACTCTATATTATTATTATTATTATGATCATTTCAGTGAGGTTGCATGAGTAGTGTTATGTTTTTGGAATGCAAAAACTTGCGAATGAATTGCTGTTAATATACATAAATTAATAGACACACTGTCCAGTGCTTGAACTTCAAAAGAAAATACACATGTTTTCTGCTAAATCTCTCTCCTGATTCCACTTAAAATATAACCCCATATCTAACCTTATTATCCACACATAAATGATACATTTGTTTGAAGCATTGACAGATCCATGGGGAATGGTTGTACTACCGGATCTTTTTGTTTAGAGTATTTGTGGCTTTAGATCAGTGGTTTTCACACTGTAAGCACACCTCTCAGGGGATGTGTGAAAGGGTTTGGGATGGGAAGAGGGGCATGATGCCAAGAGAGAATAAATTAAAATCCACATGCAGCTGAAATAACCAAATTTTTTACGTAATCTAGTAATCTTTTCCATAAGTACCCGTTATAATTATTAATCCAGTTATCAAGAGAAATAGAAAGGGTCAGTTTCAGTATATGTCTCCAGTATTCATTGCCATATAAGAAACACTGCAGAATTTTCATTTTAAAAAATCCATTTTTACTCATGGTTTTGGTGTGGGCCACTAGGGACCCCTGTACTACAAGTATTTTCCCTATTCTGATATGAAACTTAACATCCTTATTTGCTACTTTTTTGGTATTTGTTGGGGACACGCGGTAGCGTAGTTGGTTGAGGCACTATGCTACAAGCCAGAATTCTCGATGAGGTTATTGGATTTTTTCAATTGAAATCCTTCCAGCCGCACTATGGCCCTGGGGTCGACTCAGCCTCTAACAGAAATGAGTACCAGGAATTAATTAAATAATCTTCTTGGGGAGTAAAGCACAGCCGGCGTGTAAGGCTGACAACCTCACCGCCATCTGTGAGCCGATTGTCTAGAAACTGTGGGACCCTCAACATCTCACAACCCTATGGGCCTTCACGGCCTGTTACAGGGGTAGCTTTACTTTTTACTTTTTTATTTGCTATTTGTCAGAACAGTGTTAGTCAGTTTGACAGTTTTTATTCCTGACATTATTAAGAAGGCATAAGATGTTTTCATAGTGTCGCAGGCTCTTGTTTTGCATGGAAATTAAGACACATGGTGGGACCCCAGAAGCATGTGTATCTATTTTGATATAGAGTGCCAGCCTAACTAATGCAGTAGTAACAGATGACAACCTGTAAATTCTGTTTCATAAGGTATATAAAAGAAAATTAAACCACTGTTTATTTAGCAGTAACTGAGTTTGTTAATCATGAATAGTAATGCGAAGGGTTAAATTTATTTAATTGAGAAATGGTGGGGGGGGGAACATGAATGTTTAGTGGAAATCAGAAGGAGTACAGCCTGCCAAAAGAGTTGAACCACTGCCCTGTAGTGTGTATTATGCATTTAGCTGAAGTCTTCTGCATAATATAAGCTGATTAGATTTGCAGCAGGAAGTTAAGCTGGAAGTTTCTTGTGTTGAACTTAGATTTGTAAGTACATAAGATTGATTCTATTAACTCAACACAAAATTCCTGAGTTGCACATTATTCATGTAAAATTCTTTGACTAATGTGCAACTCAGTTGATATATTGATGGACTACAGGCTGATTCCTGGCAGGGGCAAGAGATTGTTCTCTTCCCTGCAGAGTCCAGACTGGCTCTGGGGTCCACACAGCCTTCTGTCCAGTGGGTATTGGGCTCTCTCTTTGGGGTGTGAAGCTGACCACTCGCCTCCATTTAGGGATAGAAGTCAAGAATGGTGGAGCTATACCTTCACTTGCCCACTTCTCAATTAATAAAACACAGGGACAGTGTCCCCCCCCCCTTGGCGCTACAACCCTCATTTTGGGCCTAGGCCTACCTCCATGAAACTCTCCATTTCATTTCGGTTTTACTAGATCTTAGATGTATGGTAGGACTCCTTGGGTGGGTGATCAGCTCGTCGCAAGGCCTCTACCTGCACACAAACATCCATGCCCTGAGTGGGATTCGAACCCATGATCCCAGCTTCCGAGCGAGCGAAGACAGTGCATTCCTTAGACCGCTTGGCTACCATGGCCGGCCAGGGACAGTGTTACCTTTCACAATTCATTTTTGTCCTGACTGAGTTGTGTAGTAGAATATTCAGTTGGACACATTCTCTTCTCGTCTCTATATAAACCCACATATACCCCTGCTCTTGTCATTTCTGTCCTGAAGATTGAGGCTGTGGATTCCTCCAAAATATCTGAATCTTGGTACCGAGAAGACTGAAAACCTAAAATGCTGCAGAATTTTAGAAGTAATTAACTTTTTCCTGCAGTGTGTAAATTGAATTAAGTTGGCTGTTCATTATGATACCATCATAATGTCTTAATTAATCACAGTGTGGTAATTATCAGCAGCTGGCTGGTTGGCAGAAAGAAAGAATCCTGTGTATGAAGTTTATCGTTTTGAATGGGAGGGTGTATATTGTTATGGGATAAACCCTTTTCATTGATTTCAAAAGGACCTTTCTTTGAAAGACTTTTCCTGAGTTAACTGTAAAATTTATGCTTTTTAAAAATAAAGAAAATGGTAATTCTAATGTGCTGAAAGCTAATTAAATAATACCGTGTTCTCTAATTTCAGTTTTTAGCATAGGCAGTTTTTTAATTAAATTTTCTACTAACAGAGTCAGTCATTTTGTTATTTAACAGTTTCCTCTTGTTAGAAAATCGTTAATGCATTGAGTACCGCTTTCTTTTGTAACTCAGTAAAAGCCTTCTTTATAGAGCTTTAAAATTTTATGTAGTTTATTTTGAAAGTAAAAGAAGGTCCCTACATTTCCCCAGTTTTTTAATCAAACATCAAAGCAGTTGAAACCCATTCTTTGCCTTACCTCTGTCAACTTCTGTTCTGCTAATACTGTTTACATGTTTTTGGCTTTGGTGATCTGTAGACTGAGAGTAGTGAATGTAGTTTTGAGTAGTTTCATTGTTAACACCTCTTTTTATCATCACATTACTGACTACTAGTTTAGTGATCACATTAAATTTTGACATATCATTACATTCAGATGATTAAGAAATTTAAATTGTTTAAAATTCTTATTATGCAATAGTAAACTCTTCCCATTCCTGAAGGGATATTAATGGATTAAATCTAGTTAATGGCAGATAAGACATAATTATTCTACTGACATTTTCATATTAAATTAAGACACAAAATTGTAATTTAAGTGAACTTACATTGTATATTTGTTATTATGATCATTGTTGTTATAATTATACTGAATATTGCTTGTGATTCCATAAAAATGCAACTTTGGCCATTCTGAAAAAAAAAATGAGCATATCATGATGCTGTGTGTGTTCCAGCCAAAGTTCACATTCTGTGATTTGGGGTTCTCACAGCAATGGATGCAGAGATACTGTCTTGTGGGATGTGGCATTGTGTAGGTTGGTAGATAGGCACAAACATTTCAGAGGAATCTATTGCCTCCATCTTCAGGATATAACAGTAAGCTACCAGAAGAAAACAGTGGGAGCTACTGTTTTTGTGTGCTTAGCCTTGGACCCTGTCCTCCATTCTCTGTATCACTGGCCATCTTTCCTGTAGCCTGCTCTTCTATCTGCATGTTGGAAGCAGAAGGTTCCTCCAGAAAAGTGTTTATCTACCAGACTTCATGATGTCTCATCCCAAAAGTGTTTCTGTTCATGATCAGGTATGTGGATATTTCTGATCAGAGGTATAGTACCACAAGGATGGGTGCGAATCTCACTCCAAACTTTAGCATATAATAAATATAAATTTTTGGAGCATCAGTGGTTTCAGTTATATTTTGGCAGATTTATAAAGAGTATTAATTGGAATTCAGTACTTTGAGTTTTATGTGTCAATTTTTGTGTAAGTAGAATTATTATTTCTTTCTGGTAATAGATGGAAGTGTCTTGGGTGTGGGAGACACCTTCTTAGCGATATTTTGTGTTATAGGTGCACATCTTTGCGTAACATTCGTGACAACGATGAGAAAGATAGTGCATTCCGCGGTATGTGTCAGATGATTACTGTGAACCCAGCAGGCGTTGTTCAGGACTTCATATTCTTCTGTGATGCTGTTGCATCCTGGATGAATCCAAAGGATGACTTGAAGGAGATGTTCAACAAGGTACTTCAAGATCATCAGCATCATCACCTTGAAGAATTATGCCTAGGCATACTGACCAGATAGAAATTAATTTGTCACCTGAATGACCTTTTAAAAAATGTTATATTTTTGCTTTCGTCGAAGTGTGGAAATTGATATTTTATGTGCTATCATGATTACAGCAACTGTCCATGTAAATTTTATTGAAAGTGCTGTATGTAGTCTGTCTCTACATATATATTTAAGCCTTTTGTACTCCGCATTGTGTTGCCATTTTACGTCTGGCATAAGAGAAAATTATTGAAAAGATAATGCCAATGTAAACTCAGAGGAACAGAAACTAAATCTGTTGATATAAATGAGTAATGAATTCCTGCCTGTCTGTTCACAAATCAGCTTGCTTCAAGTGAGTGAGTGACCATATTTTGTAATCCTTGGTCTCTTTATTATTATCACTGATGTTTCTACCAGGGGTAGTTGTCTTACAACAAAGCTTTCCCCATTCTTTCCCATCCCCCATAAACACTCTTCTTGTATTTGTACCCTCTCCTTCCTACTTTGGTTTATATATCATTTTTGCTTGGTCTCCCATTGTGTCTCCATCAGCTTGTGCAATGCTGTGAATCATTTATTTGATGAAGAAAGCAGTCTTCTGGGATTTGGCACCGTGTATATGTGGTGTTAACCGACGTTTCGGAGGAACGTATCGCCTCCATCTTCAGGGTAGAAGAAAAAATATAAGAAATCTGCAAGCGAAGAGACCGTGAGAACCGGTGAAAGCAGTCTGCTGAAGATGGAGGCGATACGTTCCTCCGAAACGTCGGTTAACACCACATATACACGGTGCCAAATCCCAGAAGACTGCTTTCTTCATCAAATAAATGATTCACAGCATTGCACAAGCTGATGGAGACACAATGGGAGACCAAGCAAAAATGATATATAAACCANCACAGCAACACACACACACACGCAACAGTAGAAGAATCATTGGACGTGTCATTTTCTGTGTCATGTAAAAGGAAAGTAGGCAGTTCTTCCAGAACTTCTTGTTTATGCTGCTACAGGAATCCAACTTTTATCCACGCATCATACATGCCCATATCACATGATCCTTAAATTCACAAACATGTATAGTTTCCTGTGCTTGGATTTGAATTTAACAGTTTTATTATGAATCCCTATATAAGTTTTGTCATGGGAGTCATGTCATATGAGCATCTGCCTTGGATTGTTAGAATTCCAAAGTTATTTCTGCTGCTTGTCAGTAGTATGTTCCATGTTCTGTGTAGTCAAGAACACAAATAAGGAGAGGATGTTAATGTTTTATAGAAACAGTTTAGAGCTGCTCAGAAGGTGGCATTTTATTTGAAGTGTAATGGTTAAAAATACTGCTGGCTGGTTGGATGTAATTTGCTGAGGCTTGCAGATGTAATGTTTCCATTTGCTGCAGTGATTGGTGTCTGTTCCAGATTCTGCATGGTTTCAAGAACCAAGTGGGTGAGGAGAACTGGAAAAGGTTCTCAGACCAGTTCCCCCCTCAGCTTAAGGAGCGGCTTGCAGGCATGTATGGTGTCTGAACTGCAAACACAGGTAACGTGGTACAGTACATACCTTCCTGTGCCTGGTATAGGGGTGAGGCATTGGGCTTGTGTATGGACACCTGAAGCTTGGGACAGGCTTAGATGGCAAAATTTAAACTCTTGTGAATTTGAAGAATACTAATCCCCTGTCATGATTTGGAATCTGTGTTACCCTGTGAGTCCCCCCAGCCAGCCATCATATATCACAGAGGGGTAGCAGATTTAGTCTATAGATTCATGTGCTTCAGACACTGACATCTTTACCATGATCAAGGTGGGCAGTGAGGTACATGGAAAGTCGGTAAGATCTTGTTGGAGACATTCTGCGATCCCTTGTAAGCCTTGTAATATGGCATTGGTTTCTCATTCAGAGGGATCTAAGTTTAGTGTCTCTATTCACACCAGGATGTTTCTTTTGTAATGATGAAAAGCTGTCTTTGCAAAGCTTTGGTTTTGGAAGTGTGGGAAGCTGTAGGCCCTTTCTGCTGGCTGTTGGTTCACATTCTTGTTAGGAATATGTCCCCAAAATGCTTTTGCACTTACAGAATGCTGGGAATTGGGTTAGTTCACTCATTATGGTGATGAGCAGCAAGTTGGATGGCTGGTGTTTGAATCCCAGCATTGACAAGATTTTTCTCCTCTCCTGAGCATCCAAACTGGCTCTGGGGCCCACCAGCCTCCTGTCCAATGGGTGGGGGCTTGGAGGTGATAACTCACTTGCATCAAGAATGGTGGAGATATGTCCCCACTCCCACATTTGTCTTAATGTAACTAAGCACAGGGACAGCTTTACCTTTTTTTACATACAGAAGTGATGTTTTTAATGCTAGTGGGGTGGGACCAAGTCCCTTATACTGCGGCAACTTCTGGCCTATTGTACCAGCCCCAGATGATAGGTGAGGGTGATTGTGAAGCAGTTGGTGGAATGAAGATTGGCAGGGGAAATCAAAGTACTCTGAGAAAACCTGCTCCAGCACCACTTTGTCCACCACAAATGCCACTTGACCAGACCCGGGATCGAACCCGGGCTGCTACGGTGGGAAGCCCGTGACTAACCGCTTGAGCTATGGTGTGGCCCTCACTACAGAAGTGATACTTTTTGTAAGAGTGTTTGGTGTTTGAATAAACATGATTTTGTGATGGCATGTGAATGTACTCAGAGAGGTGTTTGAATTGTTTACAGGTAGCTTGGGGATGAGCTGCACCCTCATGTGTGGTTGGGGGTACAACAGGGATTGGGGTGGGTGGGTGAAACCACTTAACAAGAGGAACATCAACAACTACAACAGTAGCCTTGGGGATATACTGTTGTCAGCGGCAACAGCAGCAGAACTGGGTGGGGCGGGGTGAGCCATCGTGCGGGCCGCAACAGTTGAGTCACCAGGGTGGGTGGGAGGGAGGTTCGGGAAGGGAGGGGAGGATTTAAACAGTCCCCAAATACACATAAATAATGTTGACAGAAAATCATAAAATGCACAGTCATAGAGTTTAAAACAATGCAATAAAGGGGATTATAATAGAATGCTTAGTTCTGTAAACCAAAACGAGAAACAATGTTAAGGGGTATTACTTTTCATTAATTTTCAAAGTTCAAAGAAAATGAAGACATATGTCACATTGGGAATCATTTTCGCATGAAAGAGAAAATGAGAGGAAAATATATTTTGCATAGGTTCTGCTTTACATTAGCATGAAAAAATGTTTCATTGTTTGTACCTTAATGTCCTTGCCAAGCTTCGGTATAAGTTTTACATCCTCTAAGGGATAAAGTACTGTATATTAAGTTTAGGTTTAAGACACAAATATTTAGATCTGTAATTTTAAGGTTTTCACTTTAAACATATGCAAAGGAAAATAATATAGATGTTAAATGAAAAATTCTTAGCACAGTAAGCCTCCTAGTTAACTTCCAACATTTTTGGATGAAGAAAACGTATTCTTGTTGGTGTTTGCATTGTCTTTGATATTGTGCCAGTAACTTATGGTATCGGCACAAGGTAAAATATTTATTCTAAGTGCAAGTAAGGACCCTTGCATCCTAAATTGGATCAGTGTCTTTTGGGAAACTATTCGGTTTTCTTGTGTTCTCTGTCTGTTTCTTGACCCCTACATCGTGTTTCTTAGAAGCAAACTGCGGCAGCAGATTCTGAGTCCTAGACCCCCTTCCCAATGTTGTCATCGTGTAGGCAAAATTTGATGGAAACAGAGAAGTGCCTTTGAAAGAGAGGAGAATCCCACCAGAGAGGATATTTGTACATCAACAAATCGTTACATAGTGAAGGTACTCGGACTGGCTGTGATAGGCCAGTGTGAATAGGAAGGCAAGTTATCTCCTGACAGAATTTGCTTTTATGGTGTTGAGTGTTGTCTTGACCTTCCATACAAAGCGAAGTTGTTGGGAGAAACTGAACTAGGTAAAGAGCCTGATTCCATGTCATTCTTGTTAAAACTGACATTAGATTTGCTTTGCATGAAACTGTTAACTGTAGGTCAAATTTGTATTAGTGATAAAACGGGATTACTTTTAAAGTACTTTGCTGGAATTGCTGATAATTTTAATGTTTGATGTGGAAAATCTGGATGTATGTGTTGCGAGATATATTAATTATATACTCTATAATTTCTGCTGCTTAGCATATAGTTCAGGATTTCTAATGTCATATTTTTATTTCTGTCAGCAGCATTGACTTAATGTGGCCTGAGGATGGTCATGTTTCACAGACTGTGGTCTGGTACCCCTTGCTAACAAACTGTAGCAGAATGTTCTGTAATTCTGACATTACAAATTGTCTTTCATAATAATATGATACAACATAATAGTTGATGATCGTAGTCACGCTTTCTTGCCCTGGTTTTCTTTTCTCACTTCAAGCAAAGGGGGGGGAATTGAAATAAGCTTTACAAACCTACCAAGTAAAGAAACATGAGCATATCTTCTAAGCTGTAGAAGAATGAGTCTGACTTTTTAAAATATAATTTGTTTTGTCACATTTTTCTATGCTGTGAAAAATGACATTGGAAGAATACAGAAGCTCTTAATGCTTTTGTTTGAAATTTGGAAGCCTAAGTAGTGTCAGCATGTCTCCTGTGTCATAATATTACATGTATCTTGTATGAGACAGCGCATCAGGATTTCTGAAGTGGTAGTTTTTGTTGTACTGAACATATTACAGATTGTAATTTCTGGAAATCTGAAATCAGAAACTAGAAAAATATAATGTGAAAATTTAAAAAGGGAATTAATGTTCAGTTTATTGATAAAATAACTGAAAATTATTAATAAGAGTGAGAAGTGAAACAGGATCCTGATGGAATGTTTGGGTCATGTTAGTAAGTGTTGTGAGTGGTTGCGTTTCAGCATATTTCAGCCTTCATTTTCCTGTGCATGTTCCCCGTAGTCATTTTTGAATGTGGATATATATCATTTGTGTGCAGGTGTGTGTATATGTCTTCTGTAAGGATCTCCAAAATTGTTAATGAAAGAACTAAATTTGCATGAAACGTTTGTTCTCAGTGATCCGTTTCTGTACTATATAGGGCTGAATTTGTTCAGTGTGGTGAAAAATCTGCTTAATCTTATGGTAATATTTTCCATCCATATGATCGTCAGAGCCTTAGTGGAGTTGCGCTGGTATATATATTAATGGGATAACTTGAGTGAAATGTTTGAGTATGTACTTTCTGTATCTGCTGCAAGTGAAATATGGCACTTTTCTTTGCCTCTCTTAAATTTCATTCCTGTGTGTGCATGTTTACATAGTCAACATCATATGCCAGGAGAATTAACGTTTATTTATAAATTATAATATTTATGTATGCACATTTTTGTTGATTGTAAGAATGTATTTGTAATAATATTTGTTTGTATTGTTAGGTGCTTACTATCAATATTTTTAATACAGGGAGTTGAGTTGTTATAAATTTTAGCCAAGCCAGCCTACTTTTATTTTTTAAGGTTATGTTCCTACTTAAGAAGTTATATTCTTTATGTGCATGATGAAAGTTCTTGTTTATGGTAACAGTAATTTCGAACATTATGTTACTGTGCAATAGATAGGTTGTTGAATGCTGCTTCCCTTTTTCTTTTTGCATTCCTGAATTATTTCTGTGTTTATGAGAAATGGCACATGATTTGGTATGTGTGTATTTCAATAAAAGAATGTTGGCTTAATATTTTAGCTACATTTTACACAATAAGTGTCACTTCTTATGTAGAGTCATCAGTTTTAAAACGTTTTATTTATATAATCTCATATAAGGTAAATACATCATTTGTGAGCTGTACAATATGTTGTCTTGAAAGGTGATTGACCTTTATTTCATGTAATTCCTTATGCTATTCATATTTTTCCATTCAGATTTTCTCAAATACACATTGTATTCATATGCTGCCCTATATGGGGCTTGCCCCTTTATGAAAGTGTTCAGTTTTTTTATTGGTTACAAACTCTGATGATAGCCATACACAGCAAATGGGATCCCATACATGTTTTCATTAAGCTTGCCCCACTCTTTCTTTACATGCATTTTGTCATGTACAGCACTCTACTAAAATCTAGTCCCAAGTTCTGACAAACAACTGGAAATCAAAGTATCATCAGAGTCTGCAGGCAAAAATTCACACTTTCCTTTGACACAATACAGCTTACATAGTCATATAAACCTGTACCTGTAAACCTTTTATAATGCTGTTACACCTCCTAACCAAGAATAGTAATATCTGCCTAAAGGCCCCAGCACAGTATGGTGCTCTAAAACTTTCATCATGCAAAAGAAAGTATATAATAATAAATATTAAGTCATACTGATAGATAGGTTTAAGTATCAGCATATTGATTGCATAGTGTTCTTATGTAGTTAATTGTGTGTTAATTGATAGGTGCTGTGAATATAAGACACTTTTCTCCTACGTTCGATACTTGCTTCTTGCAGGTGTCCATATTAATATCACTTTACATGTCAACAAAAATTACGATATAATGCTAGGTGGCACAGAAAAATACTTTTTAGAAAGAGTGAAAAGTGAATAATTAACAAAGATTTAAATGAAATTCATGTAATTTGTGTAGAATATACATAATGTGTACAGAAAAATATATGCTGTTTGGTTGGTTCATTACACAAAAATGTTTTCCATTTTGAATGTTAAATGGTTGACATCTTTTTATATATAATTCAGTTACATTAATCACTGTTTTCTTGGAATACAGCTTGAACATGGGTTTTCCATTGGTCAATGGCTGATAAGAAGTTATCTCGTACAGGGAGTCTCACATTTTCAGTTTTGTTCTGAACGTAGTAATCTGATGGATTCAGTCTTTGACTGTCAAAACCTGACATAAAACACCTGCTACAAACCTCAAGGCTGCTCAGGGGGAAAATGCCCCTAAACCCTGTTGTGTCACACTTGATGCTATCTACTGATCGAGGTGTTGTACTGAGTTATTAAGACCAAGATAGTCTCAGCAGTTGTGATGCTTGTACACGGGTGATATGACCAGCTCTGTGTGCAAAGGGTTAAAGCTGGTGAACTTAGTAGCTGTTCTGTGAATATAACAAATTCACGCTCTCAGTGAGAGGGTAAAAGCAATTTTTGTAACATTCAAAGTGGAAAGTATTTTTCTGTGTATTGAATCAACCAAACTGAAAATTTTTCCATGCAAATGCTTACGTGTGTTCTACACAACTTGTGTTTGTTTTGTTAAGTCCCATGATGTTCATCTTTATTGCTTTTTCAAAAATAATTTTTTTTAGCCACCTTGTGTGCACAAATCATATTTTAGCAAATTTGATTCATTTTACAATAATAGTCATTTCCTCCTACCTTCTCCAGAAGTCAACATTTCTTGAGGGTCATTCTCCATGATATACCTCCTTGTCAAGTATTCTGCAAATTCCCATGTTACTAGTGACTAATAATATCACATTCAATGTCAATCTCATTACCTTATAGGCTGAACTTAGCACATGTCAGTGCCTGTTGATGGCGTGTTTCTACTGTGCATGTCAGTTTCTCTGCAGATATCACTCTGATGCAGAGAAACTTGTAAGTGTAGCATCTGAAAGCTTGAAAGAGTAGACACATGCACGTATTATAGATTGTTTTTTACTTGTTACCCTCCATTTCCATTTTGAATGCAAGTTCAAAATCTGTTTTCATCAAAAAATTATTGGTCCTGTGTGTAAACACCCAGGAGCATAGCAATAAATGTGTTAGTAATATGTTGGTGATTCTTGTATTACTGTATCTGCCTTCATTTATGTTTATCTCTTATCTTGTAATATTATTACTAATTGTGATAAGGAATTGATGTTTTAGTTAATATGACAGTAAACATAAATTGACAGCTGTTAGTATACTGAAGAGTGTC